AGGTCGACCCGGTGCCGCGCGCGCCGGTGCCGCCGGAGGGTGCCCTCGCCCACAAAGGGCTTCCCACACTCCGGGCAAACCCACGGCCCCCCTTTCCCTTTCCCTTTCACCGCGGCGGCGCACGGGCCACTGGGCAAGGGGATGTCCCCCCCCCCTCCCCCTACGGACGCGCTCCCCCGTCGTTGGGGGGCGTGGGGGGGAGGAGGAAGGACGGAGGGGATCGCGGCCAGCGGCCCTCCAGCCTGTGGGTGCGGGCGCCCCCGACGAAAAAAGGGGCCGATGAAACCGGACGCGAGGAACCGCCCATGGAGACGCCAGATGTGAGAAATCATTCCCTGCGAAGCTTTCGTGAGATCACATAGAATGTCCTTTTGTTTTTGTTCGGTGCGTGTGTAGTGTACCGAAGGGAGATGGGCGCAGGTTTTTTTTTTCGGATTCAAAGAACTCATAGCATTCCCACAATGAATATACAGCCCTGAATATTTATATACGTATATATGTTTTTAACCAATTGACTTTATCTCAGTGTAAGAACAATACCATCATACACAAGACAATTGATTAAGTGTATTAAAACGACCGTTTTTTGAGAAATTATACGCGAATCAACAACGACACGTAAGTATCTTGAGAAGCATCGAAAGGGTAAAAAGAAAAAAATGAGGAAAGCGTTACGCAAATACAGGTCCTCCAAGGATTTCATTCGGAAGGAAAGCCTCAGGATACATGATATGACCCTTAGCAGTCTTTTCTTCTCCTCCCCCGCTCTTGAATACCGAAGATTCCTGGGCAAAGGTCTAACACACACCAGAGTGTATGCGAACAATGGACTTTTATTAATCACACCTGGGCACATATCTCCCTTGCGGCATCATAAACTTCGAGGGAATAACGAAAGATGTGCAATTCTGGTCCGCATTTTTTTGGAGAATGACCTTTCCCAGGCTCGCCCTATATGGATTCATTTTTATTCTCCCGCTCTAGTGGGAAAAAAAAGATGCCCAATTCAAAGTAGTAAAATAAAGAGGAAGATACATGCGATATTTTTCACCATTTAACATTGTCATAATGCTATAAGTATATGCACATGTGCTGCGTATGAGAAATATTATCCATGCCAGGTTCAATCCCCTAAAGTATTTATCTCTATTGTATGAATCCCAATCCTTCCATACATGTAGAAACCACTTCACGCTGAACCACCGCCAGCCAGCGTGACATGAGCTTTAAATCATTCAAACAGTGCCGTTTTCAGCAGAGCAATTATACTCCACCAACACCAGGTTTCCGTATATATATTTTTTGAGTAAGCACCATTTCCTTCTTTCCCTTCCAAAGCTTTTCATTTTAGTACTCTAATAAAGTCTAGAACAATATAAATAAAACCAACTAAATCAATGTAAGTATAAACCAAAAGGAATATCTAAAATAGGGAACCGGACAGAGGGGGTGGACCACCTATCCCCTGGTGTTTTTCGCCTCTTAACGTGTAAAGGTCCTCGATACCCTGGTAATACCCGTTTTTCCCGACCTCCGCCTCGCAACCCAACGGGCTTGAAGGAAAGGTGACGCCCCTGCGATCCGTCGCGCGCCTTCCCCCCTCCCCCCCCCCCCCTGTCACTGGCGTCGTCGCATCAGGAAGGTGTCCCGACTCCACAAGCCGCGCATTTCCTGCCCGCGGGCGACCGGGTCGCACTTTTTCCTCAGGGGGTCCCCGACCCCCGCGGCGGGGGTCCGCGGGGGTCCCCCCCCCCCCCCCCCCAGGCGGGGGGGCGGTACCGGTACCGCCGGTCCCCGGTCACGCGGTAGACGATCTCG